GGAGCACTGGAACAGGCTGCCCAGGGAGGTTGTGGAGTCTCCTTCTCTGGAGATATTCAAGACCCGCCTGGACAAGGGCCTCTGCGGCCTGCTGTAGGTGACCCTGCTTCGGCGGGAGGGTTGGACTAGATGACCCACAGAGGTCCCTTCCAACTCCTAACATTCTGTGATTCTGTGATAGCTTAAGCAGTGCAACACAATAAGTTTCAGGTAGTTGCTTCTAAACTATCCTCAAAATAATAACTATTTTCATAGTCAAGGAGACAAAAACTTCACCCTGCCTTAGATTATCTGGAATTCATAGCAGCAAGAAAAATGCCCACAGAAAATTATGATAAATTTTTAATTAGGCCAAAAGATAGGTTGGGGTGGGAATAGTACTTGTTTGAAAAATGGTGTGTATATAAGAGAAAGAGGTAGTAAACACAAGCTTTTGAGGTACCCGCAAAATTTCTGTCTTTATAATTAGGCAGCAGTTTTATATACTGTGTTACAACTACAATTTTGTACAAAACAAACTGCCATAGTCTATGTAGCTGTATCGTATTTGCTCTAATAGCATCCATCCCAATTTGCCAGTAGCAGATTGCAGCTGATTCCAGAGTCATGTACTGCAACTTGAGCAATAGCTCACAGAAAATACGCTACCCAGCACACACGCACAAGCTTCCATGAGTCCAAAAGGCACCACATTACAGGACAAGGATGAGATGCACTGCCAGTGGAAGCAGTTCCTAAGTGCCAATAAAAAAATGCTTGTTCCAAATCTCAGTTAAACAGCAGTTTGGTGTCCTAAGAAAGTTCACTTACGCTACACCTGTATTAACACAGTAAACAGTGCCAAATTCCATTTCTGAACACCAGATTTCTGGCCATACACTATTAAATTGTTAGAATGATTTCCAGTATTGTTTTGGCAGTTGTGTCTCAAATAATTCCCTGTAGGCACTCTGGATGCATCCAGCAGATCCTGAACTAGGAAAACAGTTTAAAATAATGAATATGGGCTATGCAGTTGGCCTAAGCACCGGAGACCAGTCACAGGTCTATTTAATTCACTTCTGAAGATGTAGCCCAAGAATCCGGGACAGCTGCATCAGAGGTACAGGCGACCAGTCCCAACTTAATCAACATACTCGTTTGTTAGATTAACAGACCACAGTTATTTTTTACAGTAGGCAAGTGTCACATACACATTAGTTCACTGGCAATATAAGACCACAAGCAGCTGGTCTGAATTCCAAGCAGGTTAATTAACTGAAAGAATATGACACCACTCAATGCCTCCAAAGACCTATTCAGAGGACCTAATTAAACTGTTGAGACACCTAAAGTCAATCAATAGGAAATGTGTCATATAGACTTGCATGACATTTACACCATGTGAGTACAGTATTTAATTTCTTCTTCAGGTTTGAGTAAGCGTGCTTTTCTAATTTCATGGCGTGGCTCAAACATGATAGGCTGGACATCAGCTTCTACAACACTGAAAGATTTGGAATTAAAAAGGAAAACAAGCATACTGTTTTACAGATATGGAATAAAAGGTAAGACTTAAAAAGATAATTGCATACTTACTTTGAGAGCATCATGAAAGACTGGCACACCTGGATGATATGTGCATGAATCTAGAAGAAAATAACTAGCATAAATATTCAGGCATACCAAGAATCCTTATTTATCTGATCATAAACCCAGGAAAAATCTCACACTTGCAATTCATATATGGCATGAGCTGTCCCACTTCCCCAAGGGCACAGAATTATGAAGAAAGATACAGACTCCACAGAACAAGCTTTCTAAGTGCATATATTAAGCCTAAATAATCAAGATTTTTTTTCTTCCGTCTTATACAACACAAACCAGAAAGCAGGCATCCAAACAAACTTCTACTTCCATATGGAGCAACTAAATTTTCTATGGATCATCCTTTGCCCTCATCAATACTTAGTCCTTACTGGTAACTGAGCAGAAGTAAAAAAGGTGGTCCTATGGCCACCCAACAGGCAAAAAATACTGCTTTACAGCATCAAATGTATCTATTTGCACCTGGTCAAGGCTTTCTGTCTAGAAACACTGTTAAAAAATTCTCTTAACTTAATGAGTTCAGTATTGTATCCATGATAATTAGCTTGTTCTTTTTTCACTGTTTGTAGTATTCTAGGTCACTTAAGGACTTGAACCCAAAGGCCAGTCTTCCACATACACAATTTAGAGATGTCAATACTATTACTTAATAGGTTCTCTACAAACATTACACTGAAACACAACTTCCATTAATGGAACTGTTTCTATTCACAGCTGTTTATCAACATTACAGCTTTTTTATGTAGCAACTGTTCCTTTTTTACTTATGTATTTTTTTGAAATGCAATACAATTGCTTGATTATATAACTTCTCTTTGACATATACTACATGGACAATATTTTAATGACCTAACTGTAAAAACGATGTGAAACACTAGCTATCTTTCAGTCTTTAAAGCAAAAATTTTGTTGTTGTCAGAAACAAATAAAATCAAAAGTGACACAAACAGTAACAAGTTTTATAATAAGGCTTCACAAAACAGAACAGTGAGAAAGATCAAAATTTACATAATACGAAGCAAAACAGAAAAGTGCTAAATAACTGTATTAGTAATTTGCCTACTGATATTAAATGGGTTTAAAGACAAATAATTTAGTTGTTTTCAATTTCATAAATATGTAGTTTTAAAGAAATTTTGCTTAGTATCATTTTCTTTAGTTTTACACTCAGTGTCTAAGGCACTAATACAGTCTGACAGTCATGTTGCTTTAAGATGACAGTTCCCACCTTAATTCAAAAGGCATATATTTTGGGACACTGGTCCTTCAGCTGGACTTACATATATGTCCATGAACTTCTATAAATTCCTTCAGCTTCAGGATGAAAAGCTAATGCTTTTGTAAATGTAAACCTCACAGGAAAATTTAAAAAATAAAGTGGTTATTTTGTATAAAGAGCCCAGAACTTCACTGCTAAATCAAATAAAATAACAATAGAGGTTATTCTTTTCCAAAAGTATGAAAGTATGCCATTATAAGTATCATGGTAGTAAAACTAAGCTCTGTTTGAAGCAGAGATTATTTCTGCATCAGAAAACCTCACTTAGTATTTCTAATCCCTCACAAGCATGTGGGTTTAAATGAGAGAAGTGCTGTTAATCAGTGCAACACTTCTAGAGACCAAAACCATCTTAGGATGGATTAACTCAGGGACGGCTATCCTCCAACTCACAAGTCAGACACGGAAAAGCGTCTATTTGTCCATCTGGCCAAGGCCAATCCTTTTTCCTCACTCCCAGCAGCCCTCTCTGGAGGAGGTACATCATGGAGCAAATGACAGCCCACTCTCTGCTGCTTCTTAATGAGGGTGATGCATATTTCACAAAAGAAAATGCTGAGACAAGAAGTTCTGCAGTACCTCAAGAGGCAGTAGGACTTCGGCAGAATGGTCAAACTGCTTAGTGGGACAGTAAAATGTCACTCATTTTCACTCATACTGAGCCTGACAACTCTTATCTGATTAAAGCTTACATCTGCCTAAGGAACCTGAAGGTGCACAAGTCCATGGGGCCTGATGAGATGCATCTGCGGGTCCTGAGGGAACTGGCAGACGAAGTTGCCAAATCACTCTCCATCGTATCTGACAGGTCGTGGCGGTCTGGGGAGGTCCCCACCAACTGGAGAAGGGGCAACATCACCCCCATTTTTAAAAAGGGAAAAAAGGAAGACCCCGGGGAACTAGAGGCCAGTCAGTCTCACCTCTGTGCCTGGCAAGATGATGGAGCAGATCCTCCTCGAAACCATGCTAAGGCACATGGATAACAAGGAGGTGACTGGGGACAGCCAACATGGCTTCACCAAGGGCAAATCATGCCTGAACAACTTGGTATCCTTCTGTGATGTGGTTGCAGCATTGGTGGACAAAGGGCGGGCAACTGACATCATCTACCTGGACTTGTGCAAGGCATTCGACACTGTCCCACATGATGTCCTTGTCTCTAAATTGGAAGCACATGGATTTCACAGGTGGACCACACGTTGGACAAGGAACTGGCTCGATGGATGCACTCAAAGAGTTGCAGTCAATGGCTTGATGTCCAGGTGGAGACCAGTGATGAGTGGTGTGCCTCAGGGGTCAGTACTGGGGCCAGTGCTGTTCAATATCTTTGTCAGTGACACGGACAGTGGGACTGAGTGCACCCTCAGCAAGTTTGCCAACGACACCAAGCTGTGTGG